ACATTGGCTTCCAACTGAGTACCATGGCCTGTATAAGATGTTAGTTCTGACCTTTAAAATTCTTTACGGCCAGGGTCCATCGTACTTTAGGGACCGCCTCTCCTTCTCCCATCATTGGAGGTCGCAACGACCAGCCCAACGCAACTTACTCTATATACCGGGTCCTAGAGAAGTGCACTTGGAAAGGACCAGACGCAGGGCTTTTTCTCTTTCTGCCCCTGCCTTGTGGGATTCCTTGCCGCCCTACATGAGAGCCATGTGTGACTTAGGACCTTTTACTCTCGCACTTAAGACCTGGCTTTTTACTAGAGCATTCGGTCTCTGTTAATTTTTAAATTCTGTGTGTATGTATTTTATCTTTTACAATTTAGCTGTAAATCGCCTAGAGCATTCTCGGATGGAGGTAATTAATAAGTAATTAAATATGATGATGATGATGATGATGTTAACTGTGTCTTTAAACAGAGTTTTGAAAACTGTTTTCTAATATTTTTATGACTGCCTCTCTAGAGAACTATGTTTCCCCTTCCCAGGGCGTTTGCGCCACACTCTGTGCTGGTCATGGACCTTAATAAAGTCTTGATTGATTGAGAATCAAGTCAGATGGTGGCTGAACAGTCATGGGGCAAATGATAAAATAGACAACTGAGTGTGTGCCTGGCCTTCATGAGTGTTCACATTTTATTTATTTCCATGTTGTATTCTTGCCATGAGTTGGAAGACATGAGACTTTATTCTGGACACAAGTTGGAGATGAGAGGCTATGAGCTGAGGTTGGATCTTTGAAGGACCATCAGTGAGGGCAACAGGAAGTGGCCACTTTTCTTTCCACCGGAAGAGAAAGCACTGTGCTATGGTTCAACAGTTGTAGCGTGGCAAGCATTATAAGAGTCTTTTTGCTTGATTCCTCCTGGATTCTTCACTTACGTTTGAGGCTCAGGTGTCAGTGGTGGCCAGGAGGGCCTTTGCACAACAAAAACTCGTGCGCCAACTGCGACCGTACCTCAGGAAGGCAGATCTGGCCAAAGTGGTCCATGCCTTAGTCACCTCTAGACTGGATTACTGCAATGCACTCTACATGGGGCTGCCCTTGAAAACGCCCCGGAAATTTCAGATGATCCAACGGGCGGCAGCCAGGTTGCTAACTGGGGCACCTTACAGGGAGTGGTCAACCTTCCTGTTCAATGAGCTCTACTGGCTGCCATTCATCTGCCGGACCCAATTCAAGGTGCAGGTTCTTACATACAAAGCCCTGAACGGTTTGGGACCCGCCTACCGGGTCGAACTGCATCTCGAAGCACTAAGTGGACCTACCAGTAAAGGTTTAGATATTCTCCAGCTGGAGTTCTTTGGTCTTTAGGGCTGTTTCCCTGGAAATCTTTGGATGCGCTTAAGACTGTTCTCCCCCGGAAAGTCTTAAGGGTTGAAGCTTTTGTACAGGGGAAGCTTGCACACGTCCTGTACATTAGTTTTCCTTGCTGAGACTGACTAATAAATGGCTCCCTTCCCTTCCCAATTGCCCTGAGCAAGGGGCGGAACCAAAACTTAACGATGATGGACAGGTGATTTGCCCTATGACTGCAACCAAAGGAAGCCACCTATCTGCAGAGTCCCTGAAACCTAGGACTGCAAGCAAACATTTAATACAAAGCAAATAAATTTGGAGCTCCTGGTACAGCCGTACCAGCACAGTGCCTGTGGCACTGAAGAATGTYAATTTCTTGATGAGTGAACTTAACATACACTTTTAAAGCTCTCTATCAAATTGATGAAACTGAATCTTTCCACAAAGTGCCTTTTTGTAATACATAAGCTTCATTTCTTGACCCAATGTTCCCAAAAAGGAACTGAGCCTACAAAAGAACTGCAAAGGGAGAATTTTGGGACATATGTCAAGTTTTAAAAAATGGCTTCTAATTTTAAAAAGCACAGGCAGTGCCATCTGAGCACTCCAAAGAATCAAAAAGGCAGAGAAAAGTTGGCTTTGCCTGACTCAAGTTTAAGGCAGGAGAAGTGTCTCTCAAAGTCTGGCATTAGCAAACTGCAGTCTAACTGAAACTAATGACCAGAGGAGTTTCAGAAATAATTTTCTGTTGATCTGGAGTAAATTCTGTATGAGAGAGCAGTACATCCAATCACAAACTGTCCGTCTGCATCCAGGCCCTCATAAATCAGAGTTTACCAAGGGAGAAAGGGAGATACCGAAATCTACAATGAGAGCAATGGGCAATTTTCCAAAGCTGGCTGGCTCCCTTCTAATGCCCTTTGCGCTTTCCTCTCATTCTGTGCACAAGAATTAAAAACCAAGTCGCAGCAAATGACATCCATGAACCAAAGTGATGAAGTGGAAGGCTCCCAGCCACTCGTAGATTTCTAAGCAGCATTCTATAAAGCACCCAAGCATTCAAGGGAAATGCAGGATTTTGAATAAAAAGGAGTCTTTTCTCTCCCGCCCCAAGTGTTCAATTGTTTGCCACACTTTTGGGACAAGCTATCATCTCACCCAACCAACAAGCTATCACTTCCGTTCAAGAATGACCCTCCAGATGATTATGCCAATCTGACACTCATCAAAATGAAAGTAAGTTTCTGCAAAAGCCAGATCTGTTGTTCCTTCTCTTTCTATGCAAACACCCAGTGGTGTGATGTCTGTAAGTGAAGTTTATTATTTATTTATTTTTATTTCTTTCCAACATTTCCACCCTGTCTTTCTCAACCCCCGAAGGGGTACTCAGGGCAGCTTATAATGACAACAATTAGATGCCAACGACATGCTTGCCCCATCCATGTTCAACATCTACACAAATGACCAGCCACTGCCAGAAGGGACAGAGAGTTTCATCTATGCTGATGATCGTGCCATTACTGCTCAAGCAGAGAGCTTTGAGATGGTTGAACAGAAGCTCTCCGAAGCTCTAGGTGCTCTTACTGCCTATTACAGGGAAAACCAACTGATCCCTAATCCATCTAAAACACAGACATGTGCTTTTCACCTTAAGAACAGACAAGCATCCCGAGCTCTGAGGATTACCTGGGAAGGAATCCCACTGGAGCATTGCAGCGCACCCAAATACCTGGGAGTCACTCTGGACCATGTCTCTGACCTACAAGAAGCACTGCCTGAATATCAAGCAAAAAGTGGGCGCCAGAAACAATATCATACGAAAGCTGACTGGCACAACCTGGGGATCACAACCAGACACAGTGAAGACATCTGCCCTTGCGCTATGCTACTCTGCTGCTGAGTATGCATGCCCAGTGTGGAACACATCTCACCACACTTAAACAGTGGATGTGGCTCTTAATGAGACATGCCGCATTATCACGGGGTGTCTGCGCCCTACACCACTGGAGAAATTACACTGTCTTAGCCGATATTGCACCACCTGACATCCGCCGGGAAGTAGCAGCCAATAGTGAAAGGACCAAGGCAGAGACATCTCCAGCTCATCCCTTGTTTGGGTATCAGCCAGCATGCCAACGACTTAAATCAATAAATAGTTTTCTAAGATCTACAGAGATACTCGCTGGAACACCTCAGCAAGCGAAAGTCCAAAAGTGGCAGGCTCAAACCCAGAGCCTCAATCAATGGCTGATACCCAATGAGAGACTCCCCCTGGGCACACAGAAGACTGGGCGACTTGGAAGGCGCTGAACGGACTGCGCTCTGGCACCACGAGATGCAGAGCCAACCTTAAGAAATGGGGCCACAAAGTGGAATCCACGACATGCGAGTGCGGAGAAGAGCAAACGACTGACCACCTGCTGCAATGCAACGTGAGCCCTGCCACATGCACAAAGGAGGACCTTCTTGCGGCAACACCAGAGGTACTCCAAGTGGCCAGATACTGGTCAAAGGACATTTCATCAACTACCAAGCTTGCAAACTCTGTGTCTTTTGTATGTTTGTTTGTTTATTATGTCAAAAATGTAATACAACTGTTCGGTTGCCTGACACGATAAATAACATATAAAATACAATATAACAACATTATGCATGAGATAAAACATTGAATTAAAATACATTAAAACATTATAATTATTATTATTTGTCATATCACCGAATCCAGATCTAATATAGCGATTGACGACTCAGTCTGAAGCCTATGTCAAAGTTCAAACATTGTGAACACTGCCAAGGCTACAGTCCAAATGCCTGATCTCAAAACCATGTTTTCAGTCTCTTTCTAAGAGAGAGGAGGGATGAAGTCAACCTAATTTTGCTAGGGAGAGCATTCTACAGTCGGGGGACCACCACCGAGAAGGCCCTGTCTCTCATCCCCACCAAATTCACTTGCAAAGATGGCAGGGCCAAGCAAAGGGCCTCCCCAGATGATCTTAAATTCAGAGATGGATGTAGAGGGAGATACGTTTGGATAGGTAAGCTGGGCCAGAACCGTATAGGGCTTTATAGGCCAAGCGCAGCACTTTGAATTGTGCTCGGAAATGGACCAGCAGCTAGTGGAGCTGACATAACAGAGGGGGGAAATATGCCAGAGATATATGTATAATATAGAAGTTTCAGCCCAATACTCAAACTGACATCACCTTTTAACAAATGACTAGCTGTTCATTATAACTCTAGTGACACAACACAAGAACATACAGTTATTTCTCCCCAATTTGGGTTAAGATTAAGACTAACATTAAGATATGCATTTTAGCAAGTCAAAATGTCTGTATTGTCAATTTAGGACCTGAATTTCTTCATAGTCATCCAGTTTGAGAGGGGCAGTAAAGGAGAAAAGGAGTTTGTTGGATGAAGGGAAGGCAGTAGAGGTGATGATGGGCTCCATAACCCCTCTCACGTATTTTGTTGACTTTACAGTCTCACAAAAGTAGTCACAGCAACAAGCTTGAAGTCAGAGGATCCTGATAAAAGCTGGCCCTATTGATCACTGAAATGCAATGTGTCTCCTACACCTCAACCTTTCCTATTCTCACATCCCGCTCTCCATTTCTCACAACACGTTTTATAATGGCTGCTTGCCGATACTTGCCTGTAATGATGCCATTTTTCTCTACAGGTTCTTGCCAGCTGACCTTGAGCGATGTGTCCAAAATCTCCGTGAAGCTCAGATGTCCCACCACTCCTGGCTCTGGCAATCAGAAAGGGAAATCTGTTAACAGGAGGGGCCCCATTTACTTTGGATTCAATTCAGCTTGGCATTGTTTGGTCTGAAGAAATAAAACAGCCAGCCAGGACCAGCGCTGCAAGACTGATCAAGGCGTTAAGGACCATTCTAGCTATCATCCGGAGGAATTATTTCCACCCTATCGTCTTCTCAGCTGCTCCCAGAACTCCTGCAATCCGATAGATGTCCAGTCATTAGAAATAAATCCCACTGAGTTCTATAGAATTTAATTCATAGTCTATAAGGCTGCAGACTTTATTAAACCCCTCCTTTATGGGGTGGTGATGGTGGAAGCTTTCTTTCCTCTCAATGTAATATAACTAGAATAGGAAGTGAGACTGAATCCTCAAATGCAAGTGCTGCTATATTTTCCTTGAGCCCGTATCTTATTCCCTCCCATCTGAACCAGGCTGGCTCTATGCAATGCCAGTGTCACATATATCTTGGACGGGTCTTGTCACTTTGATGGTTATAGAGACATAAAACCATGGAATCATACAGTTGGAAGAGACCTCAGGCGCCATCCAGGCCAACCCCATTCTGCCATGCAGAAAATGCACAAAACTCATTCCCCACAGCCTCTGATCAAAAGCCTACAAAGAAGGCATCTCCACCACACTCTGAGATAATTAACAACTCTTCTTTCAGTAAGGAAGTTCTTCCTAATGTTCAGATGGATAGAGTCATAGAACCATGGAATCCTAGAGTTGGAAGAGACCTCAGGGTCCAGCCATTCAGAAAAAGCACAATCAACCCATTCCCCACAGCCTCTGTTCAAAAGCCTCCAAAGGAGGCATCTCCACCACTCTGAGGTGGTGATAAACAAGTCTTCTTACAGTAAGGAAGTTCTTCCTAATGTTCAGATGGATAGAGTCATAGAACCATGGAATCCTAGAGTTGGAAGAGACCTCAGGGGCCATGCAGTCCAACCCCATTCTGCCATGCAGAAAATGCACAAAACTCATTTCCCACAGCCTCTGTTCAAAAGCCTCCAAAGAAGGCATCTCCACCACAACCTGAGAAGATGATGAACAACTCTTCTTACAGTAAAGAAGTTCTTCCTAATGTTCAGATGGATAGGGTCATAGAACCATGGAATTTTAGAGTTGGAAGAGACCTCAGGGGCCAGCCATGCAGAAAAAGCACAAAGCATTCCCCGCCACCTCTGTTTGAAAGAAGGCATCTCCACCACACTCCAAGGTGGTGATAAACAACTCTTCTTTCAGTAAGGAAGTTCTTCCTAATGTTCATATGGATAGAGTCACAGAACAATGGAATCCTAGAGTTGCAAGAGACCTCAGGGGCAATCCATGCAGAAAAAGCACAATCAACGCATTCCCCACAGGCTATGTTCAAAAGCCTCCAAAGGAGGCATCTCCACCACACTCTGAGGTGGTGATGAACAACTCTTCTTATGGTAAGGAAGTTCTTCCTAATGTTCATATAGATAGAGTCATAGAACCATGGAATCCTAGACTTGGAAGAGACCTCAGGGGCCATGGAGTCCAACCCCATTCTGCCATGCAGAAAATGCACAATCAACGCATTCCCCACAGCCTCTGATCAAAAGCCTACAAAGAAGGCATCTCCACCACACTCTGAGGTGGTGGTGAGCAACTCAGTAAGGAAGTTCTTCCTAATGTTCAGATAGATAGAGTCATAGAACCATGGAATCCTAGAGTTGGAAGAGACCTCAGGGGCCAGCCATGCAGAAAAAGCACAAAGCATTCCCCACCACCTCTGTTTGAAAGAAGGCATCTCCACCACACTCCAAGGTGGTGATAAACAACTCTTCTTACAGTAAGGAATGTGCCGTCCGCCCAGACGATATAAAAAATAAAACTGCAACGTGCTTCTCTTCATGCCTGAGCAAACCGCAAGTGTCTATCTTGAGAAGCTTGAGATACTCAGCAACTGAGACTATTACTGGTTTTAAACATCAAAAAAGAATATTTATTTATTCAAAGTCCTTCAAGATTTGGCACAGTTCATCACAGTTGCAAACAAACAGTCAATAGATGAAACTACAAAATATTCTTTCCTTTCTTTTTAGTACAGAGGTAACCTTTTCTCCAGATGGCAGATAAGATCCTGGAATCGTTGCACCCTAACCTTAAGCTGTTGTGGTTTAGAAAAAAGCAGGTTTTTTCCCTATCTATAACTTAAGGTTAGTTCTGGAGACAAAGTAGTGAAGACTCTCTCTATATAACTATATAACTCAATCTTCTCATTTAAGCTTATCTAACTATAATATCTCAACACAGTATACTATCTATATTAACTCAATATAGCTTAATACTTATCTATAATGTATAATATACTATCTATAGCTTAATATAGCTTACTCAATTTAGTTTTTGCAATGGTTTTCCCAGAGCTAACTGCCTAGCCATCTTTCCTCAAACTGGAAAAGGCAGGGGAGAATCTAAAATGGAGATCTTTCCCTGGGAGAAAAGGCGGTCCCTAAACTCAAAGAGCTGCTCTCTAAGCCAATAGTTGCAAAGAGGCCTGCAGACTCTGATACTATTAACTTTTAGGACTCCTGCAAAGCTGCAGCAGCCCTGGGAGAAAATGCAAGAGGAAGCAACCTCAAGCAACTATAAAGTAAGGCAAATCAGGCTCCTGGGAGACAGAATAAGGAAATTCTTCCTAATGATCAGATGGAATCTTCTTTCCTGTCATTAGAACTCATTGCTCAGAGTCCTATTCTCCAGGGCTGCAGAAAACAAGCCTGCTCCCTCCTCAGCAAAATCTACGCGGTCCATAGGAAAATGCATTCCCAAGTAGTTATTTTGACATAGCAGTGGCATTGTAATTGCTTTCAGTAGATGCATGCAACTTGGTAAAACCTCTGAAGAAATAGCTTAAGTGGAACAGTTCTTAGTACAACATTCCCTGGAGGGTAATGAAAGTGTGTCAAATAGACTGATGGCCAAAATGTGCTTTGTTCAATTCTGATCTTTGAGGAAGGCAACTCAGACAGATTTGTGATCCTCCCTGCCCTGTTCTTCTCCCCTTCACAGGCACTTTGAGCAAAGGAAGCTTTGTGCTCACTTTATACTCCCTGCACTTCTGTTACCTGAATCCCTGCTGGGCTGGGCTGCCCTCCTGCTCTCTTGACCCAGGCTGGCCATTCTGATTCTGCTTCTTCCTTATTCTGACCAGTCGCCAACTCCCCTCCAGCTATGAAGAAGAAAGACTGCCAACCCTTCTAACCAATTTGCATTTCTGCACCTGGAATGCATGGAAGGTTGCTTGAACTCAATTCTCCTGCATGCAGAAATTCATGTATTGAGCCAAGGGATCTCTTGCTTTTTTGGAAATATGCAGGATATATACAGAATACTGGCTAAAGAGCTCAAATTCCATGTTTCCCTATTTTTTAGTTCAGAAAGGCTGTGGAGTCCTTCTTGAAGCAAAAGTTTCTTGTGGAACCCCAAGAAATGTGTATATATGTATGTGTATGTGTGTATGTATCTGTGTGTGTGTGTGTGTGTGTGTGTGTGTGTGTAGCAGATGGATGGAAAGTATTTGTGTGAACTAATTCACACAGTGCAAAAAAATTATATTTAAAATAAAGAACAATTTTAACCAACATAAACGTAAGAGTATTTCAATGGAAGATCCCCAGGGGCCATCCAGTCCCACCCTCTTCTGCCATGCAGTAAATCGAAGCACCTCCAACAGATGGCCAGCTTTTAAAATAACAACAACAACAACAACAACAACAACAACCTTAGAGGAGGTGGAGCGCCCACGGAATCCCTGAGCACCAATGGCTCCCAGAGCCCCAATGGCTCCCCGGAGCACAGTTTGTGAACCGCTGATCTAGTTTAAGCCAGCTTAATATTTGAACAAAGATCTTGATTTTTGCAGTTGCTACCTGAAAGGTAGAAATCACACACCAGGAGAAGGGGGGACCAGGAGAAATTTTCCTTCTCTACCCTTCTTCTGAAGCATCTTTTCTACGTGCTAGGAGAGCTCCGGAGAAGGAGAAATGGCAGCAAGTTAGGTTATTTGTTGAGTTGTAAGGCTTTTCTGGAGGGTTGGGAGGGAGTTACAGCCCTCTGAATTTTCTGGGACTTTTGAGAGGGCTGTGTGAATGGCCCCCTCGATAGTCCCAGAAATTCTGAGGGGACTGTTGGGGTTCAGCCTGTGTATGAACTTGAACCTGACTCTGATTGTATTTCCTGATGCCCATGTGAATTCTGAGGCCGGTTTAGATGAAGATGGGTTGAGTAGTGAAAATCCTACAGCCTTGGAAAGCGAAAGTCAAGATTCCCATGAGAACATACATTCTGGGCAAAGCGGAGACGGTTCACTCCTTTTTCCTCCCAGATTTAGCTCTCCAGAGAATCAGGCACCTGGCCTGCCTAATGATAGGCGGGGGCAGATTTGGCAGAATCGGGGAGAAGCCCAATGTTTACGCAGGTCAGCCAGATTGAAGGAAATCCAAACAAAATCTTCAGGTGTGTCTTGCAATAGATTTCTTGGCTTTAAATATGACTGCTCTGAATACAGCTTCAGACTAGGCATCATTCCAGATTCATGTGCCAGCGTTTGCAGGTCTCCGGATCCAAGTAGCCTTGTTCCACGGAGGTTTTTCTAGTTGCCCTAAGTACGGTTAGTGATTTGCTAACAGGTTCCAGGATTCAGCAGTCTAGCTGTGGGTTTAATGATCTTGTTGCTGATTTTTACTGTGGCTTTTTACCTTTGCATTTTTCCCTCTATTTTGTATTCATCTTTCATCAAAAAAAAAGGATTGTTTTTCTGAAGCCAAGCGTGGTGGATTGTTGTCTGAGGGTCCAGTTTCCTGCTCTGGGTTGCAACAGGGACAGTCTAGACATGGCCCATAGTGGGTTGGACATGGGTCTTTCAGGAAGTCCTGGATCTTTCCAGTATCAAATTACTTCGAGACAAAGCAGGGTTTTCCTGCTTTGTCCTGAAATAATTCATTTGTACCT